CTGGGTTCAGCTCTTCTCCCCTTTTAAAGCCACCAAACTGATAGGACCGTGATCCCCAGTGCCTGCTGGGGTTCACTACCAGCTCGCCATCTCTGTGCCATAGGGCCGGCCTGCCATCTGCCAGGGGATTTATTCTGCCCCAAGACCATGATTCAACCCACCAAGCATCCCTCTGAATGAGCCCCCTGTTCTTGGGGTCATCACAGGAGAAATCTGATCTCCCCTCTGAAGCAGCAGCTCAGAGAGCCCGAGGCGGTGGGAATCTGCTGTTCTTCATCGAAAGTGGTGTTGGTATTTGATCATTTGGAGTGTTTTGACACGGTCTGCAGTTGGACACGCTCGTCCTCAGCCTGTGAACTTATACATGTCAATCAGGCAAGCACATGTCAGCCTCCACATCAGTGTCTAGGAGGTCTACAGCTGACAAGATAACCTTTTCATGACCAACACATTGCTACTTCAAGGAATGGAGACAAGAATTCGGTCTGATCTCGAACAAGATAGGAGGCTATTACGCACCTTTTAACACCTGAAGAGCTTCTAACCCTTTTCTTGCCATTCCATTGTAAGTCTTCACCACTTTATAAAGAAGTTTTGGGTTGTGTTTTTTGTTTTGTTTTGTTTTTTTAATGAACTTTCCATGCAGATGACCAACAGTGGAAGAAAAGACTTAGCAAATGCAAGTCACAGATTTGGACAGCTGGTGTTACCTGGGATCTTGCTCACAGACCTACCATAAAGCCAAGACACTCGTCCTCAGTGGTTTGAGCCCTATCATTTATCACAAGACAAGCATTTTCTAATGATGGGTGACATTTAGCACCCAGAAAAGCATCAGTGTAGGCATCAAACATCTGGAAAATTATTCCACTCTGGAAAAGTGACAGGAGCAACCAAAGCTTTGGCATTTTCCCACCAAAAAAAACCACGCAGGATTTGTCACCTCTCATGTCCAGTTCCAAGGGAAGATCCCGTCTGTGGCTTCCTTGGGATGCCCTCTCCACCTCCTGTGTGCAGAAAGATGACCCACTGATGTGGGCACATGATAAACTCCCCTGCCGGTTCTCCTCACATAGGAGGGTCAGCCCACATCCCACCAGAAAGCAGCCCCCAAACACCCCAATCAGCAGATGGGGAGATGACCATGACCAGAGGGTCACACATGGGTCTCCTCACTGGCCCAGGACCTTTGCTAGGTTTGGGGATTCCTCATGCCCACACTGCAGCTGGCAGGAGCCACCTCAGCTCCACTGACTTCAGCTACATGCTGAACCAGGCCATTTGAAGCAAGGCAAGGATCTAACCCTTCACCTGGACGTGGTTTTCCTAGACAGCAAGGTCACATCCTTCTAGGAAGGTCACTTGCTCCGGCTCCTATGTCTGTGCACTACAAGTCTCCAACAAATACCTAAAAATACCATTAAGATTCAAATATTCAGATGCAAACCCTGCCAGCATTGCCAATACCATTTTGATTTTCACTCCAGACTGCATCTGCCACAAGTTCCTGTACAGTCCATTCACAAAGAGCAAGTTAATTAACACAATATCACTCAGAGCTGGCTGCCTATCAGTATCATCTAATCAGTGTCCTCAACTGACAACTAATCTCTGACTTGATCTTTCCTTGGCCACCAAGCAGAGCCTGAACAGAAGGAGCTTTGTTTTGAGTTACTGCAGACACAAAGGTCAGCTCCCAACCCATTCCTGGCATTGCCCTTGCCTTGAAGAGCAAGGTAGAACCTGTTTTCATGTCAGACCTTGTTCTTTTCTTCCTGGCTTTGACAAGAAGGTATCATTTGTCCTAGGGAGTCACTCCTCGGGCTGGGAGTGGGCTCAGACATGGAGCAGAGTATGGTAAAGCAGCACCATGAAAGGACATCCCAGGGGGGCAAACCAAGTGACACCTGACAACCCACACAGCCTGACAAAAGTCATCTGCCATGCAGTGACTCCACCACCTGCAGAAGATAAGGCCCAGCCAGTTTTGCTTTGGCAGGATCCATTCACACCCTGAAATAAGGCCCAAGAGAATATGAAATCCAGATGACATGAGGACCCACATCTGCTAGTGCATGGCACAATTGTAAACTGGGCTCATGTTCGGGCTGTGTCAAGCACATGAGCCAACTTCCAAAAAGAGAACAGGTTTAAAAACATGAATTCTGCCGACTTTACTAGTTAAGGATCTGCCCTCATCCACAACACCAATCCTTTCCCAGAATTATATACTATATATAATAATTTTATACATATACACACACATTTACCTTGAGAAACTGCTATTATAGCATGTTATCATTTTCACAAGATTTTAAAAGCAGGCAACCAGTCTGTAAGACATGCATTTTATGGGGGTTTTAATTTGGGGGAAGCAATTTGGCAAGTGTAAATTGGTAGTTAGGCTGATGGAAAGCCAGACTGATGTACTTAAGCATTTTTCAAACAGGAGATAGCTGTGGGTGGGGAAGACACACCTTTTATCTTTAAAAGATAAAAAAACCCCAAACAAACCAACCCACACAGATTTAAACATCATGTTTTAAGAAATATTCAAGTGAGGAGAATTTTTAAGGCAATTTTAACTTCTACTTTTATATTGTAGGCCTGGGTGGTGTTTACTCAGCCATTGCCTACAGCTGTATTCCTGTACTCCACCTCTCCCAGATCTGCCCCTTTTCTTACACACCTGCTGTGTGTAAGCACATCTCCACCTCCAGACCCCAGTGACTATGAGCCTCACCCCAGCCCAGATCCCCTCTGCTCCAATGGCACCAGCCAAGTATTTCTCTAATACCACCAAGCCCAATGACAGAGAAACCTCAAGCCATAATTTCCCCAACCTGTCCACCACAAGTCCAACCTTTTTCCCTGCTGCTGTCCTGAAATAGAGCAAAACCCCAAATCAACCCAGGATATCCAGGCTGCTCCTAGGTTGCTCTTTATTTTACAACTTGTAAAATAAAAAGCACAAGATTCCTTCAAAGTCACACCATTTTAGAATGGTTTTTTTCCTGCATGTTGGACTTAGGAAACATTTTATAGCACGAGAGCAGCAGAACAGTGACTGATGAAGGGCAGTAAGGAAAACACCTTGTTTTGAACATCTCAGAAAGTGAGCTATGAATCCCAATGCCCATCCCCATTTGGTGGCATCAGCACATATTTATGTAACCTCTCCATGTCAGGGAGCTATGATGAGAGCAACTCATATTGGGAAACACCCACCCATACCTTTTAGGCAGTCCTACCATGGCATTGCTCACGGTCCTGCCATGAAGGGCTGGGATTCATAGTGATTCTTCACCCACCAGAAGAAGGTGACACACCACACAAGAAAAGACCAGGCTTTTTTTTTGTTTGTTTTTAACCAGAGATTTTTTTTGTCTTTTTAATTTCAACTTGGTACGTGATTTCTGACAGTGTGTCAGCATCTCCCACCGGGTCAGCCATCTCCAGACGCCGCTACATTCAGTGTCAGACTGTACAGTGGCGATGAGCCAGTATTTTGAGCCTCACAGTCACTTGCATGTCTTTATGGGTTGTCACTTACAATCATTTGTGAACAGCAGCACAAAAGGACACAACGCATGAAAATGAGAGTGGGGGTGAGGTGAGGGCCAGATGAAGGCTCGACCCTAAGGAGAACTTTCCCCAGGTTCCCACAGCTCCAGCAGGGGATGAACCTGAGCACAGGGTGGGAAAGACAGGGCTCTCCCTCCTTTCTCCTTCGCCCGAGGGGTGGTGACATGGGCTGTGGTGTTTTCCAGTGCCAGGACAGCAGCTCACACTGGTCTAGCACCCATATTTGAGAGCACGGGATGGGGTCGCTGGTGGATGCAGGCTGGGCCCCGCTGTGGGAAGGGGGAGGTGATGCAGAGAAGCACAGCTGAGCCCCGATGGGCTGGGATGTCCACCAGCTCCAGCACCGTTGTCCACCCCACACTGGCCTCCCGGACACATCCAGAAGTGGAGACAGGACCTGGCCACCACGTTGTCCCCATCAATCTGCTGGCAAAAGAGCAGGTTTCTGGAGGCAGCTCTGCATTGTGTTTCAACTGCACCTCAAAACCAGTGGGGCAACCTGAGAACACTGAAAATAACGAACCCCAGAACCCAAACCTATCTCCTGAAACGAACCGATGTTCCTTCCCTGCCCCTGGGCTTTTGCAACCTAAACATAACGTTTATAAAAAGTAAATTATTTCCTCTTATAACTTAAGTGCATTGAGTCTTTCCTTAAATATGGTTCACGCTGAAAATAAAGTTACTTTTGCTGTACAGTAAATTTCTGATAGACTTAGAAATAAACTTTGTTGATACAATCTGGCAGGTGTGGCCGTGTAGTACAACACTCACAGCCACGCAGCTCTGCACACACACACGTGCGTGCCCACACACACACACACATACACACACAGCCCCTTCCTCAGGGACAATGTTAGGGGTTTCTAGCTTTCTATATTCACATGGGAACATCTATCTTAAAAGTCCCTACGTTTAAGCAGCGAGCGCTCAAACTGGTTGAGGAAACATAGGGGAAAAAAACCAACCCTGCAGCAACATTTTCCCTCATGTTTCCTCAAAGCATTGTCAGCTTTTCAAATTTCAAAGCCCCGTTGATTCTGCAGGCTCTCTCCATGAAGATCAGCAGTTTGCTCTTTCCAAAGGTGGTATGGAGGGGATACGGTACTGGGATGCTCCCATGGGACATTCCCCCTCCCCCTGCCAAAATGAGAAATTTGTTTCCCCACTTGAAATTTGAAAATCCACCAGCCAGCTGCAAAAACCACTCCTGCCCCTAATCCTAGGCTCCTAAGAGAAACATGAAACTACGCAACCCATAACTTAACTCGCTCCTTGGGAATCCCAAGATACAACATATTTGACAGCATCCCAGCAGTGTTGCTTCTCCCTCCCTCCCAACCCCGAGGGCTCTGCAGCCCCTCCTGGGGCAGCACAGCGGCAGCAACTGCCCCATGCCAGGGACCACGCTGCACTCAGGAAGTGAAGTAGGAGTTCTGCATGGAGTAGAGGTGGTCGATGGGGTTTCCCACTCGTGCCTGGAGCGGCCCCGCGTCTGCCGTGGCGAGGAAGCAGTCACCCAGGTTGCTCAGTGAGGTATCATCGCTATCCAAGTCGTGGAAGAGGGGCTCAGCACCTTGGAAAGCAGGGAAGGAGTAGAAGGGCTTGAGAGCCTGCTTTCTCCTCCAGCACCTTAACAGTGCCTGGTACCCCCAGCTTTTGTAGCACAAGGTATTTTTAGGGGTGAGGGGATCACCAGAAATTGCTGCATCCTCCCACACATGCCCCCATCACAGCTCAGCATCTCTCTGAGGCAGAGGAGGCAAAAGGCAAATCCTCGAGCCCTACCGTAGGGATGCATGTGGTCTCCAGGCATTTGTGGTGGGGTGAGCCCTTGCCGGAAAGGGTCGGAGCTGTAGACACCTTGCTCCATGCCCAGCAGCTGCTGGGGCGGGGGCAATGCGGTGTAAGGGTTCAGCATCCCCTCCAGCCCTGTGCTGCCACCGCTGCCGCCGTTTGTCTGGCCTGAAAGATAAGATCAAGGCATCAGCACGGTCAGGCTGCTGCTTTTTGGGTGTCCCAACAACACTGGGAAGCCTGGAGATGGCTGGGAAACAGGGAGACCCCAAGCAAGGGGAGAGCTTAGGGAGTACCTGAGCTCAGGCGCTGCGTGTTTTGCTGATCCTGCTGCTGCTGCTGCTGCCTCCTGGCGAGCTTCTTCATCTGGGCAGGGAGAAGGGGGAAAAAAGGGAATGAAACCATCCCCTGGCCAAAGTCAGGAGGGAGGGAGCCTCAGCAACAGCCACTGCTGGGGGGTTACCCCTTGTACCCACCTTTGCTCGCTGGTTCTGGAACCAGACCTGCACCACCCGGACGCTCAGCCCTGTCTCCGCTGCCAGTGTCTCCCGCACCTGGAAGAGAAGAATGACAGCAGAGCCTCAGCCCACTCAGCTTTTCAGAGGGACTTCAGGAGAGAGAGCACTCAGGACAAGTCCTTGCCCAACATCCAGGACATCCATGAGGGCTGGAGGCGGCTGGGCACGGGCCCTTCTCCCCATACCTTCCTGCAGGGCTTGGAGGAGACCTCAAATGATGCCTTGAACGCCCTCCGCTGCTGCGTGGTCAGAATTGTCCGGGGCCGCTTGGGCCGTTTATGATCCTTCCCATCCTCAGTGCCCTTCCCTGAGGCTTGGCCCAGTTTGCAGATGCTGTCCTCATCGTCACTTTTGCCTAAAGGGGGGGGAAAAAGCAGGTCCTTTACAGTCAATGGGCCACACATACCATTTCCAGTGTGTCCAAAATAATCTGGGAGATTTGAAACAAGTTGGTGTTGGTGGGGATCTTCCTGTGAACGTGTATGAGAAGCTGAGGTTTGAGACTGGCTTCCCCATGGCAGCTCAGAGAGGGGAGAGCTGCTGTCACTTGTAGTCTGTGGTTGCTCAGCCAGCAGATGGGCTTGTGGGTTCTTCTTTTCCCCAACAGTCTGAGCAGTTGCAATGTGAAACTCTGGGACAGCTGATTTTCCCTTCATCAAACCCAAATCCCTGACTGCTCCTCAGGAATTTCCAGCCAGGTCACAGCTGGGGACATATCTGGACAGAGACACACAGGTCACATCCACGTGAGGGGACAGCAGACATCGAGAACTGCCTCTGGGGTTGTCCCCCAGCCCAGCTGGTGACAGACATTGGGTCCCACGGCCTGGGCAGCCCAGGCTGGGGAAGGTCAGGGTGCTGGGTGAGCAGACACGCTCAGAGGGGGCAACATGTTAGACAAGATACTCTCACAAACCCCTCTTGCTTTGTTCTACCATGGAGGACAACTCCATTTAGAGCACAGGCCTTTAATCACACTTGTAAAGGATGCCTTCTGGCCTATATTTCCCCCTTTTTGTGGAGTTTTAAATCTCCTTAGACAGAAGCCCAGGGTCCTTTAGGCTTCACCCTCAGGTACTCGCTGTGATGTGCTGCTCCACTGCATTCCCAGGCACTGAGCAGCACTCCCTGCTGCTCTCCACCACTCAGATCCACGGAGCTTTCAAGAAAGATCTGCTCCAGGAAAGTGGGCAGCCCTGCCCTGCCTCTTCCCAGCCCTCCTTGTTTACTGCATCACCACTGTGCTGATGACTTCACTTGTTCAGCTGGTGTGGGAAGGCTGTAACACAAGTTTGATAGCACAGGTCCTTTCCTCTCACTAGCTATAAATCACTTTAGAGCCTTTTCCAGAAAGTTCCTGTACTATTCGTTTGGGAATTGATAATGGAGATGAGGTGCTGGTTTGAGATACAGGTTGCAAGGCTGTGCTTGTCCCAAGTCCATCCCAGGGCTGCCGTGGCTCTGGGAATGCACCAGGGAATGTGAGCCTGACTCAGAGTAATTCATGGTGAAAACAGGCCAGGTCAAACCCTATGGCAAGAGGTAATTATGGATCATACATCAGGAAAGTGTAAATCCAACAGCAGCCCAGTTGGGAATGGGGAAAGATGGGAGAACATTTCCAGGGTGAGGGGTTGCAATGACCCCAGTGGAGCAGCAAAGATGCTCTCAGGTACCAGTTACCTCTTCCCTCTACACCAGTGGGCTCTCTCCTGGGCTCACCAGCCAATACAGAGACCTTCCCTGTGGGGAGGGCCAGGAGGGATGGGACAGACATGCTGGCAGTCTCCAGACAGATGGCCCTTGCAAACCAAGGCCTTGCTACTGCTCAGGCTCCCTGCTCACTCATGACACATCCATGGCATTCCCACAACAACAGGAAAGACAAAATTCTGTTTTCTTGCATGTCCCAGCACAAAGGACGTAGCACTGCAGCAGGTCTGAGAGCCCCAGCATTGGGGATGCCCAGGCTGTGGAGTCTCTGATGGTTAATGGGGCTGAGCAGCAGCTGATCTCTGTTCCACCGAGCTGCCTGCCCTCCTGAAACCCAAAGGGGTTTAATACCGATGGAAAGGTAGAGATTTTTACACATAATGTGAGAAGGAATGTCAACTGGCACCTGAACCCACTGGCACCCTAGCACGAAGTGAGCACCCCACTCCCCTCCAGCGTGAGAGGGGCAGAACCCAGCATGGCAAAGCCACAGGCTCAAGTTGTCTATCAAGTCCATGATGCTCAAAACCCACTCCAAGGGGGAAAACAGAGCAGCCCCTCTGAGCCCTCCCCCTGCCAACACCTGCTCCCCAAATCCCTCCAAGTGTCAAAGGAAAAGTGAAGCCGGATTTGGCGGGGTATTACTTTTAATTAACTCTCCCTTTCAAGCCTTTCCCCACTGAGGAGGGGGTAGAAATTAATGAGTGTCTGGGGCTGCCCCTGACGTCACCTGGGAAGGGGCCGGGGCGATGGATATTGTGCAGTGTGCCCTCGGTCCGACCCGCCGAGCCCACATCCCGCTGCCGGGGCCAGGACATTCCTCGCTGAGGAGGATTTAGGGAGAGGAGAAATGTTAGGACGCTTTTAATTGGAAAGCAGGGTCCTCTTTCAGAGGGGCTTGTTTACTCAGGCTGGGCGGCGGAGGCTTGGGGGAGGCAGTAATTGAAGCGAGGGTTTGGGAGATTACAGACAACATATGGCTCGCTTTTTATCTGTGCTTTCTCATAAAGTGGCCCTTGGTGCGCGGCAGCCGGGGGGAGGGAGGGTGGGGGGCTTCAAAGCAGCAAGGGGGGACAGGGAAGAGGTTGGACAAGCACATCGCTGCCGGTGAAGGGCATCTGGGAATGGGGCCAGAGTGGGGACACCCCTCTGCATCCCCCAGCATGGGGTCCTCAGGGGAGGATGCAGCAGGAAAGGGAGAAGCCACATCACACTGACCATCCATGTGGGATGTGTACCTGGGCTGCCCCCAGCTGTGCCACTGTCCCCAGAGCCACGCAAGGCAAACTGCTGGTGCCCACCAAAAGCAGGCAGGGATGGCGGGGGGGCTGAGCTATGGGGCCTGTGGGGAGATGGGAAGGGTCGGGACCCCCCAGTCAGAGGCTGCCAGGGGATGTCAGGGGCTTTGGGTTGGGTTTCCGACCAGCCAAGGGGTTACTGTGCCCTTTTGACTCCCACACTGGCCCTTTGCATCCCTTAGCGCTCAGCTGGAGTTTCTACTGAAATAAGTATTTTCCTTGGAGGTTTTTGCTAAGTCAAAGCTCTTGGTTTGGCTGGAGCCCCTGGCAGCAGGGCTGGAGCACAGGCCAATGAGTCGCTGGGGAGGAACAGCTCCCCAACCTTTCCCAAACTGCCCTTTTCCCCCACTAGGAACAAACCCAAACCATTGTGGCCAATTTACTTACTCTGTTGCATGACATCTCCTCATTGGTTCCCATTTTAACTGAAAGACTTTGCACATCCCAGAGGAAAACATAATAATTCTTCAATCAGTTAAGGACTTTCCCAGGGATAAGCATGCTGGATCCTCCTGCACTCCTGCCTCTCCAGCTCCTCCAGCACTGGACCATCACTCACCAGCTTTCCCCAGCCACCTCCTCCCATGGCCTCACTCTGTTTTTTAAGTATCATCACTGTTACTTGGAGGGAGGATTCTTTTTCTCCTGAGCAAGTGGGTTGCAGAGCTCAGACAGAACCCACACAGGCAGTGCTGCAAGGCAGCCAGGCTCTCATTGCAGAGGAGCACAGTATTAAAGAGAAATATGGGCTTTGGGCAATTTTTGCTCCAGATCTACCAAAACCATCCCTGTTCCTTCACACATCATCTCCCAGCTACAGCATTCCAGTGCCTGGCAGAGAGCACCAGGCTTTGTCAAGTCCATGCTTCACACCTTAACTCCACACTCCTAATCTTGATTTCTACTTTTTAAATTCCAGTGGTTTGCTTTAGCAGGGAAAAGACAGCCCCCTGCCAATTGCTGGCAGCCCTTTACAGAGCATGGCATTTTAAAGGTAAGTCCTTCCCTCTGCAAAGCAGATTTTCCCCCAGTGAGGGTTTTTAAGAGGAGTTGAGAGAATCAGGCATGGGGCTTGCCACTCTGGTGAGGCACAGTGCTCTGTGGGGACAGCATTAACACGAGCATATCTGCTAGCAGATCATTTCCACCCCCCTGGTCCCCAGTGCTAGGCTTTCTTACTAAATTTGTCTTCCTGGGAAACATTTGGATTTGGTTTGTACTGACTGTGGATACATATTTTAATGTTGATCTGATGCTCTGGGCAACCTAAGCCGGCTGTGTCACCTTGGCTGGAGCAGGATGTCGGCCCCCTGCCCACCTCCAGCTGTGGTGCCACCTCTCCTGCAGTCCCCCTTGGCTCTGCAGTGTTCCCACAGGGTCACCATGCCAGCTCAGCAGGCTGGTTCTAGCCGTCAACTGCCTGGGAAGCTGCTGGGGACACAAGATTTGCAGTTTCCCTGCTGCCAGCTCACATTTTAGCTCCGTGACTCAGTTTCCCCTGGTTATTAAAAAAGGCGAGTACAGCAGAAGCAGCTCACTTCTTTCACTCAGCCTTTCCACAGTCCCAGGCAAGGGCAGTGAGGCACAGGGGAGGGACACAGGTTGAGCCCAAAGTAGTCAGTGGAATGCTTGGAACTGTGATTTTTTTTAGGAAGAAATCTCTCATTTAGAGTGTATTTTACCAGGGGCAGCTCTTCCATTTCCCCAGGTGAGGAGGTGTGACAGGGCATTTCAACCAGTATGACTCTTCCTCCCACAACCGGGGAGGCTGTACACCACTAAGGATGGGATGCTGGTGCCCTGCACAGGCCAGGATCACAAACTCTCACAGAAATGGGCCTAATGAGATGGGATGGTCCACAGAGCATCCTCTATCCATACAGCCCTTCCACTGCCAAGGTCCCAGCTCAAGCCCTTGCCACTGAGGTGGGAGAGACTGGCTGGAGGATCCGACAGTGCTTATAGAGCTTTTCCCTTCAGACAAGAAGGTAGAAGTTCCAGGCAGCGAGCCCAAACCTCACCTCCAGACCCCACCGTGCTCACAGGGGCCTCAGAGTGTGACCAGCCAGGGAGACGCCGGGCGCGGGCGGCCCCTTACCAGAATCCGTCAGAGCCGGGCTCACCAAGCTCAGCAGCTCCCGCTCCTTCTCGTAGTCGCCCTTACAGAGGAGCTGCCCCTCCTTCAGCACAAACTCATCGCCCTTCTGCAGGCGCCGCTCGCAGACGCAGCAGCAGAAGCAGCGCAGGTGGTAGACACTCTTCTGGGCGCGCATCACCAGCTCGCTGGGCGTGATGGCCTCCAGGCACCCGGCACACTTCACTGCAAACAGCCTGGGGGAGCAAGAGGAGATCCCACTGTCACACCCAGCTGCACACGGAGATGCTGGGGACAAGGGAGGGGGCACCCATGGTGGGGAGATAGGCATTGGCACAGGATCGCAGTGACACCCCCTTGGTGTTTGGATTGTGTTGAGGGGCTGGGCACAATGGTGCTGACAGCCCTCAGTGACACAGAAACGTGCTGCGAGTGCTGCACACCTGCCTTGTGCCAGCAGGGGATGCTGCCTTTGGGTCAACTTCAGCAGTTTTGGTTGACCTGTTACCAGATGCTTACCACGAATGCAGTCAAGTGATGACAACCCCAACATCCAGATGCCCAAGGTAAAAAACAGATGCCAAACCCAAAAGCCCAACAGGTGGTAGCTCCCCCAGCTACCATTACCACAGGACACAGGACACAACACATTCACATGAGTTTTATCAAGCCAGCTCTACATGTCCACCTGCCTCCAGCTCATGCCTAGATCTAAGGAGATGCTGGAGATGGCAATGGGTTCATTCATACCTCTCCACAAGCACCTACAGGAAGCATCTGCACTGTCAGTCACTCACAAACTACCCCATTGCTCTGGCATGGGTCACTGGAACAGCCCCTTTCCCGCTTGCAAACACATCAGGAATGTCTAATATATCATTAAAATCTCCATGGCAGCAAATTTAGGGTTAAGGTCAGTGACAGACTGAAGACTTGATGTGTCAAAAGGAAAAGAAAAAGCTCAGCTTATTCCTTGACACTGATGTGACAGCGTTTGAGGCATCCCTAATTAAATTGTTCCCAGGTTTCAACACACTGGCTTTAGACTTAAAAGCCAATAATAATAACAGCAGTAACACTTTCGACTGAAACAGAGCTTTTCTTTCTTCAGCTTTAAAGGTTCTAACTGAGAATGATCAGTGATTTACAGTTGGGGAAACTGAGGCAAGAAAAATGGAGGTGGCAGCATTAGTGTTGGACAGAAAGGATCTGGAGGCACCTGGAATTAACCCTGGGCTAGATATTTTAAGTGAATGGGATATTTTACCTAATAGAGATGTTTGAAGGTATCAAACCAGAACGTCTTTGCCACCCTCAGATGTCTGAATTCTTGGCTTGGACCCCATAAAATAAAAAAAGTACTGTTTACCCAGTCTTGTTCAAAATATCTGTGGGAACTGGACATTTTTAGTCCCCTGTCTTGACAACTTTAGCCCAGAAAGAGAAGTCAAAAGTCAGCACACATCCTGCAGAGGTTATCTCCGAGCATTGCCCGAGTCCCAGCCTGGGGGTGCCTCAGGGACCCACACAGGGAGTGCTGCATCCAGTCTTCCACTGGTCCCAGACAGCTCCCATTTCCACAGTCCTCATATCACGTGTCATCCCTGGGGGAGATGTTCAGGGGCTGGGGCTGGTTAGGGAGGGGATGGGCAGTCCTGCAGCCACCAGTAAGCTTTCAATCCTTTCTCTTTCTTTAGCCGATACAAAAAGCACACAGCAAATGTGCCAAATCAGCCCCATCCCTACAAGAAGATGACCAGATGTAAGCAGAACCCTTGCAGGAAAACCATCAGAAAATGGGGATCATTTAAAGAAGTTTTTGTGATGAACAAAACAGGGAGATGGAAGCAGAGCAAGGCACATGCAAGTCTTTGTGTCCCAGAGGTAGGTCCCAAGGCGAAGGCAACCATAACACCAGAGATGCTGCAGGACTCTGAAGGTACCAGGGCAGACTGACACCCACCAGCAGTGCCCGACAGCTTTTAGGGCTGGGTGTCAGCACATGGGCTATGCCTGTTCCCTCCTAGGTCTCCCCCAAACAGCGGTGCAGATAACGTGGTGCATCATTCTCCCCATGCCAACCAAATCCTGGGCACACTCAACAAATTGTAGCATGCCCAAAGAAGTGGAAAAGGGGTATTATAAAGCCTTTATAAAACACTACAGTCACCATAGAAAGTGAAAATCATCAAAGAAAAGGTGGAGGTTAGGGAGTTTATAATTTCAGATATTGCCATTAGTAGCTTTTATTTTTCTACATTCAGCTTTAATTTCCAAGGTTTACATACAACTGCCCGTCTCTTAGATCTGTGTATTTTCAACATCCCTATGACTGCCCTGGGAGGAGAGGAATGTATATTCCCTTGAAAGCATCCTTTCCAAAAGGTCAATTTTTCTTATTCCAGCTCCATAAAACACTGCCTTGTGTTAATATTTCTGTAGTCGCTTCATCTTTAATTATGTCTCTTTTATGTCAAAGTGGAGGCGATTTGTATTTGTCTGGTAACACATTCTCATCCTATTTAAATTATGTTTAAGCCCTACCTGTTGGGATTACTAACTGTTCTCAGTAATAAAATATTGATAAGTTAATACATTACTGCTATCTAATCTTCATAAATGAATGCGCCCAAAATTTGTTTCCAGGGCACTTATTAGAGAGCCACAAACCTTTGCCAATCAGCATCAGCCCAGTGATGGATGTTTCCAAGTCCAAAGCATGTTGCAAAGCAGGAAGGTGTGAGTTTCAACTAAATGACTGCCTAATACTAGATGCATAAAGCCATTTATTTCCCAACTGCTCAGTCCCCAACAGCTCTCACTGAGGGGTGCCAGTCAGACTGGGAGTCTTTCACTGCAGGACTTCCCCTTCCCTGGGCAGTGTGAGATGCAGAGAAATCCCCATAAAACCTCTTCCATAGCGGGAAACCATAAAGAGCTCCTTATAAACACACAATAAACTGAGACCTTAGGTGCTAGAATATCACAGACAGAAAAAGCACAGCCTACCAGGGGTAGTAACAGAGAGGGAGTACGGGGCCTTGCTGGTGTCCCAGGTCTCTCGAGCCCTGGACAACACTAGCTACTCTACAGGGACTGGGAAACAACAGTATGTGTGGATAACCCCCTGCACAGATAACCCCAAAAATGAAAACCCCCACAAATGGATAACACCACATGTAGATACTCCCAATCAGTAACAACCCCGTACAGGATAAGTCCAGCATGGATAACCCCTACATGGATAACCCAGCTGAAACATTCTTGGTCAGCCTGAGGTGGGGCTGAAGAAAAATTTTCTTCCAGCACCGGATCTAGCAATTAATTTAACATTTTAACCTGAGCAAGACACACCAGCCTGGATCCAGAGGTTTACCTTCATCTCTAGGATCTTTAGCTCTGTGTCCAGCTCCCTCCTGCTGCAAGCAGGCCACAGAGCAAATGCCATCTCTTCTCCCCTCTCTTTGTGCCTCACTGCATCTGTGGAGGGGACTTTGAGATTACATTTCCCTGCAGGAGGCTGAACAGAAGAGAAAGAGGACAGGTTGTGCTGAGAGACTTCAACTTTAAACCAAGGGCAAATTACTACCCTCTGAATTGCAACGGGAGCACCTTCACTTCTGCCATCCTTGGGGTGCTGCCAGCTTTAGTTCTCAGTAGAGGATTTTTCCCCTCCCTAGGCTGGGGTTCCAAAGGTAAGTCAGGTCTGGCTGGCAGCAGTGGGTTTGTTTAGCCAGGTGGGAAGCAGGAAGGCACAGGCCAGGGCACCAGGCAGGGAGACCTGCTCAGCACTGGGGTGCTCGGTGGAGTCCCAGCCTGTCATCAGCAGCTCAGTAAACACCTCATCAAAGCGATGACAGCAAATGTTTGTAAATGAAAAAAAAAACAAACAACTTAGGAGGAATTGGAACAAAAAAATGATGATGTGAGCAATTTTTATCACAACACGCAGCCTTTCGTGTCTGATCTTAAAAATGTTCCTGTATTGATTAATCTGCTTTTTTTTTTTCTTTTCTGATGTTTAGGTCTGTTTTGAAACGACAATCTGCTGTTTAGAAACAGAAGGGTGCTTTCAAGAAAATCTTGAAGAAAAATATTTGGGCATTTCCAAAAGCGCAACATTTCTGATGCACTTTAGATATCCCCCCTTCCCCAAGATGAGGTCCACTTCACACCATTCCTCTTTCTCAATAAAGCATCTCAGTCCTCTCCTTAGGGGTTTTCCATCCACACAGCATCAATGAAACCTAGAAATGTCGAGGTGTGGCCGAAGCCACCTCTGGGGTGGTGCATCCCATGTCCCTTCCCAACGTGCCGATGGAGCGGGTGCAGTGCAGGCAGCCCCGGTTTCCCATCGGAGCCACCACCCCCTCTTTCTCCCTTTATTTTGAGGTGACAGGCTGAAAGGGGCCGTGATTGACGGGCGCTTCCCGGCTGCTGTCTGTCTGCGTGCGCCGCATACAAACACAGCCCTGCGGAGCCTCCCCGGGGAGGGGCCGGCGGGTCAGGGACACCGATATTAAATACTGATGGACAAACCTCAATCGCTGCGCCGAGAGTTGGCTCAGGCAGCGCGTAAGGTGAGGCAGCTCTGCTGGGAGGAGGGATACCTTCCTCCCTGCCTGCACCAGCCTCCCAGGGATGCGATGAGAGGCATCGGGGCAGCCCCACAGGCTCCTGCTGGAATGGGTACTGATGGCACCGGTCCCTACAAAGCAGCTGCCCTGCTCACCTCCCTGCCAGGACTGCCCACAGCAGATCCAGAGGGGTGCTGGGCTTTCCAATACTTCTGTGCAGAGACCTGACCAACTCATCTCCTGCTCTCACCACGGCCCAGGAGGAGCCTGAGCAAATCCTGAACTTCAGGGCTCTGCAGGGAGTGAAGACACTGGATTGAATTGTCTTGGTCATCTTCTCACTCACTGTCACTTGTTGGAAGGGGGGAAAGCAGCACTCAGGTTCTCACTGCCACCAGGCTGGCAGTGGAAAAATGCCAGTCGCTGTCAACCCTACACCCATGGCCTGGGAAAGAGCCGCTGTCCTGCTGCTGCTGGGCTCATGTCACCCTGTCCCCGCTCTGGCCCCTGAGGGGCAAATCTATGAGGTAGAGGTAATGGACTGTAGCCAAGCAGGAAGGGGGATGGATGCACCCCCACATGTGGTGCCAGTGAGGGCATCCCCCGGCTGCAGCCACGGGGGACCACGTGGACCCGTGGCCCTGGCAGGAGGGGTGCTG